TGGGATTTACCAGGTTTGTTACACGCACAATATTTTTTTACAATAGATTCATATATTTTCTATGAAATTATAATTAGGTTTTACGTAATATTGTAATAATATGCAACTATCATTAAATTATTAATGAGTTTGATTCATTTAGTGAAGTTTTAGTACGTATGCATAATTAAAAATGTTACATGAAAATGCAGGGTTGGCGAAAATAGCAGAAAGAGAGTGGTACTTCTTTGTTCCAAGAGACAGGAAGCATAGCAATGGTGGAAGGCCTAACAGAACCACAGAACATGGGTTTTGGAAGGCTACGGGTTCGGACCGAAAGATTGTGAGCTTATCGGAGCCTAAACGGGTTATCGGGTTAAGGAAGACTCTTGTGTTCTACCAAGGTAGAGCACCAAGAGGTACCAAGACTGATTGGATTATGAATGAATACCGCCTCCCTGATAATTATGTTTTACCTAAGGTTTGTCTATTGATGCATATCATATATTTTCATTACCATCCACTTACATACATAAACATCGAATAATATTACCTTCAATTAATATGAAAAGTCGAGGATCTTTCCTAAGCTCCACATTAAATTTCCACATGTATATTACCAAACGGTAAGCCCCACCAAGGTTCTATCAAAATAACGACTACGAAATAGTACAATATGCTAAAGACATAAAAATTAGTTTTAATCAATAAAAAACACTTCGGTTCATAACCTTTGTTATATCCTGAACTACTAGTCTCATGGTTGATAATGTTGATGCAGGACATAGTATTGTGCAAGATATACAGGAAGGCAACCTCATTAAAAGAACTAGAACAAAGAGCAGCCAAGGAAGAAGAGAAGTCAACAAATGGATTAGCATATTCTTATCCCACATCTCCTCTATCATCATCAAATGATACTCATCACTCTTTTTTCGGTGCTGCAAAAGCTAATGCTAATGCTAATGTCAATGGTAGCGGACAATTGTTGCAAGGCTTTTTTGCACCAATGTCTACAAACCATATGATTACAACTTTGAAGAAGGAAGATCAAACTACTTTTGTAGAGAACAATTGCAAAGTAGCTGCTGCTGCTGTTACTCCTACTCCTAACACTATACAACTACCCTTTGGAAAGGAGAACTTAGAACTACAAGTTCCGAAGTCGGGTATGGATTGGGGCCAAGACCCATTTTGCTCACTATCATGCAGCCCATGGCTTGAGAATTTGTTGAACTTCTCTAGCCCAAGTCTAATTTCCCAAATTTTATGATCAACTCTACTTAACTAGTTGTGCTAGATGTGATTAATTTGGTTTAATTAATTGAGCTTTAATCTTGTTTTGCTATCCTCCCTTCAAAGTAAATGAGAGTTATAGAGGGATGAGATGGTTGTTTGTTGCTAGAAATCAGCACATTAATATATAAAGTGGAGTATATATATAAAGTAGAGTATTATATATGAGTTTTACTAATATGTTATGCATAGTGTATTCATATACTACCTCCGTTTTTTATTATCTGCAACAACCGTACCGGTTGTGAAGGTCGAGGTAAAAGTTCCTAAGCATGATTATTCAAATACAAGGGCATGTACTTAACCACTAATCCAATTAATAAAACAAAACAAAAATTTATCAAACCACTAAAACCCAGCAACCACCACCACCACCACCACCACGAACCTAGTCACCACCACCACCACGAACCCAGACCCACGCCACCCCACAAACCCAACCCACGCCACCCCTACAAAACAACCCGCGCCATCCAGCCACCACCACGAACCAGACCCACGCTACCCCACGATACCAAACCCACACAGCCACCACCACCACCACGAACCCACTCACCACCACCACCACGAATCCAGACCCACGCCACCCCACGAACCCAACCCACGCCACCCCTACAAAACAACCCGCGCCATACAACCACCACCACGAACCAGACCCACACTACCCCACGACACCAAACCCACACAGCCACCACCACGAACCAGACCCACGCCACCCCACGAAACCATTACCTTCTCTATCATCAATTAAAGCTTTATTTGGTCAAATTTAACCATTAAAATTCTAGATCTAAAATTTTCATGGTTAAATTTGACCATAAAACCTTCAAATTTGAGCTTTAGTGACAAGAATGAAACAAAAGGAGAAGGAAGAGAGAGAAAGCGGAGACGGCGACGACGACAAGCATGACACTTATAGGGCGACTTTCGGCGAAGGTGGTGGTTGAATTTGAGGGGAGATGAACAAAGAGAGGGGGAATTTATGGGTAGATGTAGATAGAGTGGAGATCGGTATGGTGGTAGTAGTGGTGGTGGTGGACTGGTGGTGGTGGTGTTTGCCATTGAAGGTGATGGTTGAAGGAGATGGTGAGAAATAAGTGAAAATGAAATTGGGGTTTTGGGGTTATTAATCATAGATAGATTGTAGGTTAGAATATAATCAGTTTTTTTTAAGGGTAATATGGTAATTTTACACTTACTAAACTTACTAAAAAAGGAAAAAAAAAACTTGTTGCAAATAATATGAAACACCTATTTTTGGTAATTGTTGCAGATAATAAAAAACGGAGGAAGTAGTAGAATCGTTGAACATAAATAAGTTACTATATATCATCCCGATTTTTCTTAAATATTAATGTCTTCTTCTCTTATACTTTGGATTATTCTCCGTACATATAATCTATGTTACATGGATTTTTCATTTCACCTCAAATACCCATGTCGGACCCTCGACATTCGGATATGGGTATGATATTTGGACATTTTACTTTTGGTCCAAAACCATGGATTTTTTTTCACAAAATAGCCGAGTCGGACGCTTGGACACATACCCGTGTCAAACATGGGTACCTGAATCCATTTAACATAGCATATAATGGACTGAGAACTAAAGAGGTTAGTAAATCTATTTGCGCTTTTTATTCATAACTTAAGACAAGCATTCATCACTTGCTAAATAAAGGATATAATTAAGAAACAAATTCTCTATAAGCCGGAGAAATTTGATAAGAACCTCTCCTAACCCCAACTAGGACGGGAATTTGTTTAATTTTTAAAGGTGTAGGGATAGTATGGATAGACCTTAGTCCATAATGGATAGACACATAATACATCTTTGGATGTTCAGAAAATTTTCTTTGAATGTGTTCATATTACAAGTACATCCTTTTATTAGTTTGGTTAGTCCTATTATAGTATCTTATTATAGTATTATACTTCCTCCGTTCTAGTAATATTGCAACAGCTGGACTTTTGCACTATTCATCACGCTTGTTTGACTACATGTTATGATTTATACGTAAAGTAAAATATAGTCATGTGGGGTCTTGTTATATTCGTCTCGTAAAATACTTTCACAATATCAACTTTTTATAATTTTTACTCTTATATAATTATAGATATTTATCATATAAAATATGCTTTGAGATGCGTAATTTCATCCTTGTTGTAATATTTGTGGAATAGAGAAAGTATATCCTTTTGTCAGTTTGTTTATAGTCCTCTTTGGTAATAATCTCTCACTTATAGGATTAAGACTTTAATTAATTGAATGGATGAAAACATAGTTTTTAGTCACATTTAGGTCTATCTACTAGGTATAGAATAGCTTATGATACATTTGTTATTTTTCATATTCAAAAAAAAGAAAAAAAAAATTGGGTCAAGTCATTTTCAGTTTGTATCAATTTTGCCAAATCTAGTTTAGGCACAGGAAATATGTCAATGGAAAGATTCGTACCTCGGTACCTGCATAGACACAGCCCACATGATTTTGTCCAGTGCCCAATAATCACTACAGAATGTCTTACCACTTTTGCTCGTACAAAGCAAAGCTAATGACAGCATAACTATGAACAAGTATCCATGAGCACTTATAGTAGATCACAATAATGAAAATAATATTCATATAAAAGCATTTATATTATAAAAATCTTTAGACTAGCAGCATAATTCTGCTTTCAGAATGTAGATAATCCACAGTATCTAGATCCTACTGAAAAAATTCACGCACTCAAAATTAAAAGAAAAAAAGGCGTGGACGGCAGGATTCGAACCTGCGCGGGCAAAGCCCACATGATTTCTAGTCATGCCCGATAACCACTCCGGCACGTCCACACTTATTGTTAAATACAGCAGGTTTTATTAACCAGTACCTGAAATAATCATAATACAGTCAACATATTATTGACAAATTTTGCATAATTGTAATAATATTGAGAATGTTGATTATTTGCTTCTCAGTAAAAAGTTACATCCTACTGATGCATGAATCTGATGCAAATCAAAGAAAAAATAAACATTAACAGCAGAATGACACTTTTCAATACGCAGCTATGAATTTGGGTTAGAATCCCTGTTACCAATCTGTTGGATCATTTACCATTTATTAACAGTATGCATCTTTTGTTGCATTACTCTAGCCTAGTTTACTCGAACTTTTCATTTCATCTTGATTTCCCTTCACGGGTACGAACACTTGACGCTTGAATTTGAGCCAAAAATCATGGAATTTCTGCACATAAAAGAAGAGTCCAAGACCGAGCAACATAAGTCAAGCCAGACAGCTCCAAATTATCTGAATATTTGTACTATGAAAATATTACCAAATGCCAAGCAACAGCATCATGCCCCTAGAACGTAACTAATATTGATTTTAATGAAAACTTATTGCAAAATACATGAAAATAATATTTGGGAATTAAACGTTAACAGCAGGAAATGAACCTCCATCAACTGAGCCCACAAGTTTTCTAGTCATGCCCTAATACTGGTCTGGCATGTTCACAATCTCCATATTATACTAAACAATGTACATTATTCAAGTAGAAAACACGTGTGTGTGCATGCTAAAATATGCATCCAAGTCATTTTCTATCAGCACTGGATCACAAGCTAACAGGTCAGTCAAAAAACAATCCAAGAGAGACAGTGATAGATTTAATGGCTTAAACTTGCAATGGGATGAACACTTTTTATCTCATACTTTTTATAAAGTGTGTTAATAGTACATATGTTCCATTATGACTAGTATGAGATCCAAATCAGCCAATATGCATCTTCTACCCCCACTAGAAAACATACAAGCCATGATCTTCAAGTGTATTACAAGTCTGAGGAGCAGGAGAAGTCTGTAAAATAGAGAAACACAAACTTCAAATCAGTAAGATAGAAGTGGGAGGAATCTAACTTATACAATGTGCTTCATCTGTCTCCCACTTCCATACCACCCCGAACAACCACCCCAGCCATACAACACAAGTATCAGCCTATCACTAAACTGCTTCAACAATTTTCATTCATATTTGAGACCGAATGAAAAGAAAGTACATTAAAATTTGAGTCAGCTATCACAAATCATTCAGTAATCAAATGGCTGTGTCAAACTAAGAAGCGTGAACGGCACAATTCGAACCTGCGCTGGCAGAGCCCACAAGATTTCAAGTCATCCCCGATAACCACTCCAGCATGTCCACTTCGTATTGGAAAGTTCCCGTAATTCTAGCAACACAAAGGCGATCAATCATAAGTATGAGCCACCACCATGACTTCAACTGATGACCTGAAACTCTGAATTATTATAAAACAAAAAATCAATAGCAGGATACAGTTTATTTTATCACATATTGCTTGGAAAAGTATAGCAGGATTCAAGAAGCTAAGTTGAGTAAAAGTTACCTTTCACCCAAAGTATAGCTCCTCTATTATCATCCTGACAAACATCACACACTTCAGTAAAATTGAATTAATCAAGCAGCAAAAACGTGGACGGCAGGATTCGAACCTGCGCGGGCAAAGCCCACATGATTTCTAGTCATGCCCGATAACCACTCCGGCACGTCCACTTCCTGTTACATAGTTTGCAGAACCAACACTTGACATGATCAGAACATGACTAATAGATAATTAATAAGCCAAAATGAGGATTATAATAATCACATAAATGTAACTACATTACTATACACGTTCCACCTTGAATAATAAACAAAATAAGGAAGAGTTATCATGATGTTGCCATTAAATTATAAAAACATACTTTTCCAGCAGAAACAGGGCAAGTGAGTATAACATGTAGACATAATTACGTTCACTCTCTTGAACTCCATTTCTTATACACCCAGAAAGAGTGTCAACTTTTCATCCTACACTCCTACCACCAGTGCAGTCTACAATGATTGTTCACTCATCTTAGACAGACCTTTCAACAAAAAGTATGGCAATAATGTTCATGAAGGGTAGTTTCCTTGTGTCACCACATCTTCAATAGACTTCAGCCAAACTCAGTCAACTTTTGCAATCTACTATTATGAAGATATAATTAAAAAACACTCTGCTCCCAATCAATGCACTTTTGGCTAACAACAAAAGTGAATATTCAAAGTTTCAAACAGTAGGACAACAATTTCAGAAGCTTGATTCTTCCCTTAAAACTGGGTGGTAAATTGTTCAGGGTAACTCAATCATTTTCATTTTAAATCAGCATTGGTCTATTCTCGAGGTAAGCTCTTTTCTCATTGGTGAAGCATGAACAAATTGTTCTACAACCATTATAAACCGAACAATAATTATTTGTCATATTTCTTACCTAATATTATGAGAACAATCCAGCTAATATAATTTTATAAAGGGTCATTGAGTATAACTGTGTCACATGCTTAATGTCGAGGGATTGTGTCAATGTGACAAGTACTTTCTGATGAAGGGGAATACAACTTACAGAAAAGCAACTTTAGTCTTTTCATGATTAGGTTCACCACATAAAAGCACTTAGGAACAATTTTGTACCTTCCAAGAGCCATAAAGTATAATACACATGAAATTAGATACACTAGATAATCTAATAAGACAACAAACGGTGATCATGTTAAAAATGCATAAATGTGTATTGCATAAAATGAAGTATTTAAAAGTGTTTCACAAAGACATCTTGTGAAACCCCAAAAGGTGCATTCCTTTAAAAATAAAAATAAAAATGGATACAATAGTCAAATATTAGGCTGAAAGCCTCAAACTACCGAAAAATCTGACTTCGGATACGAAAAAAGATCAAAAGAAGTGTACTAAAACTAATTTAGAATGCTAATAAAATCCAGAACAAGTCTTTCTCTCATTAGTCATTACATTAACACAACAAGAAATCCAAAGCCTTGGATGGATAAAGATGGGGTCGACTACATGAGCCAACAATCTACTTAATCTCTATGGCCATCCAAAACATCATCTTTCTTCAATCATTGCTATCTAATGACTTGCAAACCTATTTTCTTCTCCTCCAATTAAAAGTTTTAAACAAGATTTGAACCCCTACATTCCAACTCTTCACAACTGTCCCTAATAAATTGCCCCAGTTTCCTTTTTTGATTTATCCCTCTGAATTTGTCCGAATCAAAACAATAATTCAATACAAACCCAGTTATATTAGTGTGCAAAACTACCTACAAATTCAATACAACTCTTTAAAAAGTGAAAGCTGAGTTCTAGGGCAAACACGAAAGGGGGAGTATTAAATTAGAGTGCTAATAAAATAATTAGTCTCAATTCCACTCATGGTACATATAATTCAGCAGTTAACTAACAAATTGGGGATGATCACTTCCTAATAAAATAATAACAGTACTAAAAAAAAATCAACCAATAAACAAGACAACTCTTTTCCAATTTCCCAAAAAAATGGTATTTTTTGGTGTAAAAGTTAATGAATTTAAGCAAAATGAAATTGGGTTTGATAGAAAATTTAGGGTAAAATCCACCATACAATATCATCATCATAATCTAAAACGTGAAAATAAGAACAATTGTTGGTATTGGTACCTTGTAAAGAAGAGAGTGATAATTAAGGGTTTGCATTTATCGGAAAGTGACGCTTCAGAGAATTGTAAATGGCGGCGATAACATTTTGTCGGAGAAAAGGGTCGAAACACACGTTTCCGGCGATCTCTCTGTCTTCTCACCGTCTCTCATTGACGGTTTTGTACCCCGTCTATTGCAATGAAAATTACCATAAGGTAAATTTTTTTATACAGTGTACCTAAATGCGTTCACTTTACCTAAATTAAACTTAGGGGGTTACTAAATGCCATAATAGAATTACTTATATCGCGGTATTAAATGACCTCTCTATCCTTATAAATTTAATATTTGGCCTCACCCAATTTTCTCACCACCCATGCCCCCTCCACCACCATAAACCCTAAATACCATAGGCACACAAGTGCGAATCCGACCTTCGACCTACACCACCAATTTCGCCGGAACGAAATCAGCCACCCAAGCAAAGCCACCGGAATTAGCCACCTATCGCACTATACACGACCGCCTATAATATGCAACTATATCATGGTATGACTGCGTGTAATACGCGACTATACCATGGTATAGTCGCATATTACATGCGGTCATACCATGGTTCAGTTGCGTATTACATGCGACTGGATACATCGGAATTGAAAAAAAAAAGGATCGACATATACCTGACTCGACGGCGTCGAAGGTTCGTCGTCTCCACCAAGTGGCTCAGATATGAATGTGGACCGTCGTCGGCTCATTTTAGTGGTCGGAAAGTACGATGTTGGTGGTCAACCGTCGTGGAATCTACAATGTTGGTGGTCAAGGTAGACCCGTCATGGTGGATGGTCAAGGTTAGTGGCGGTATGGGTGGTGGAGCTGATGGTTAAGGTGGAGCCATGGCTTGGAGGGTCAAGGTTAGTGTAGTGGGTCAAGTTGACAATAATGTTAAGGTGGTGGGTCAAAGGTAGTGGTGGTTGGATGAGTATGTCATTCTCAAAATTAAAAGGGGCATGGAGGTCATTTAATACCGTATCTTGAGTGATTGTGGCAAATAACAATTCACTAAACTTATCCTACTCCGTATCTGAATTTATTTGAACGTGTAGAAATTGTTTTACTACGTAATTGTAATTTAAACTTGATTATCGCAACTTATTTAATTTATTTTTCGAAATAAGTGAAAATAAGGTGAATAAAATAAACCTCTTACCCTCGATTAGTCGACTATCATAAACTAGGGTGTTGGTAGTAAGATTAAAATGAGATCAATGTTGACTCATCAAAGGGGTTAATGCATTGATGAGGCTATAAGGTGTTAGAAAGATTCATAAATATTTCCAAGTAATTTTTTTTGGGTGAATTATGGTATTAGAGCTAGCGTGACGGAAAGCTTACGAGTTTAAATCTTGTCCACCCACCATTTCAGAATATTTAGGCTCATCATTCCACTTCAAATACCCATGTCAAATCCTTAACACTTGACATGAATAAGATACTCGGAACTTCATTTAAACCAAATTTATAGAAAATTTTCACAAAATAGCCAGGTTGGAGAAGTAACCAAATCAGTTTTGTGATACACGAGTACTTGAGTTTGAGCAAGATAATAGATTAACAACTGTGTGCTAAATGATTATGTGCAACATTGATCTTGGGGTCCAAAGTTGTAACATTTTGCTCATCATGCATGACTCGATCTGCTTATTAGCAGGTGGGAAGTGCTGCTTCTGTTGGTGAATTATTAACAACTTGAATCAATAGATACGACGACAACAAAATGTAGAATTAAGGAAAATTGTATACATAAATATTGCATTTTCATTCACAGTTTGAAGCTAGCTATAATTTGTACATGAGTAATTTGTATTCTAATTACTGAGGATGTTAAGAAGAGTTGCTCTAGTCCTAACAAGATGCCTAAACAAGCATTCTAATGCTTCATCAAAATCTTGAATTTCGGACTCCAATTTTATCATCTGGCTTTTCATATTCTCTACTTGTGACATATTAATGCCAGTTTTCTTCCTCTGGATTAGTAAATCCAATGTATCATCAACAATGTCGAATTCGCTGACTGCTGCTGCTGCTTCCTTGTTTCCACTCTGGTTGATTAGTTTGGAAACTGTAGACCAACTGCTTTTCTGAGACTGCAACTTTGCACCAGCAATGTATGACAGAAAGGACTTGAAAGTATCAATAGTTATTGCTTCTGTGTCTTTCAGCATGGTTACTATGGCATTTGTCTCGCCATTTTTGTGAGCTTCCTTGATGTCTCTTAAGCACTTTTTAATGGTCTTCTTGGCTTTCTTTCTTGTGTTTAGATATTCTATTACTTCATTGGCAATGCTAAATTCGCCACTGCTCCTTCTTCGCAGCACTGATTGTATTTCCTGTAATTGCTCTTTCGACTGTTGTAAGACATCCCTGGATGTGCCACAAATCTCTAAGAGCCTCAAAGATCCATTTAAGACCTCTTCAATAGATTTTGTATGTTTATATTTGGATAGAAGTAGTTGATTAGAAGGCAGTTGAAGCAACTCATCAGCATTGTCGTACAAGTACTTAAGACTGTTAAGTCTGTGGCTTACTGAAGATGATGAAGTCGAGGCAGCTTGAGAAGACCTCAATGTATACAACTGTTGTTCAAATTGATTGGTTTTTGAGTGAGATCTTGATGGAAAACTTATAGAACGGGTTTGGAAAAAGGACTTGGAAACCGAAGAAGAAGCCATTTCAAATTGTTTTTTGGACCTTTTGGGGGGAACAAAGGCTAAGAACTCGATTGCAAGCTAAGTTTGGTTTGGTGTCTTTTCTCCCACTCCTGTCTTTATATATCTAAGCAAGAGGAGACAAGAGGAATCTCATAGTAATTGAGAGGTACCGCGATTTCTTTTTTCTATTAAGCGCTTTCTTGCATGGTTCCATGCCGTGTTTTCAGATTGTCTTCTCCTATCAAACTTGGCAACTCAGTAGGATGAATGGTCATATTCTTGAATAAAAACTCAAGGTTATGTATGTTGGATGTCCGGCATGATCCAATTTCAGCGCTGCACACGAGTGGAAATATATCACCAATACTTCTTAATTGTTTTGTTGAACTGCGCGCTTGTTCCTACCAGCTTCACATCATATTATAATATAACAATCTGATCCCTATTGGAAAGAAACATGTAGTTTCATAATCTGACCAACTGTCAAATTTAATAAGCATTCTAGACTGTGTTTTAATATTTGTTTAAAAGCTTGATAGATTACAAGCATCCTTTCCTCTTGTTATATTTACTTAATTATTCAAGTTTTTAGTTCATCAACGTGTGGTAATGCTGCATTAGAGAAAAGAAAGGCCAAGATAGTACTCGAACATGTACATACAATATGATTATCCGTATTTACTCTGTTTCCTATAACTCCTAGATAGACATGTCACTATACTATGGTCTGTAATAGTGGAATTAGTAAGCAAGAAAAATATGTCACTATGGTGCATGTATATCTATGTAAGGAGCCAAAGGAGCGTGTACACTAAACTATAGTGGCGGCAAATAACTCCTACCTTGTACACAGACTCGGACTGGTGTCTTGGGGCTGCTACGTTGTATGCAGCAAAGAATTGAATCACTAGCAGTGCCTCTAAATATCGACATGTGCTCCCCTATTTTGGCATACAAGACTTTTGCCGCCACTAAACAAGATCAAGGCAGCTTTAGATATTGTGAGCCTCTCTGATAATGCTCATAGAATGAATCAGCAATATAATGAGATCTGGGGATTCAGTTATTGCAGAAGATATAGCTCTCGAGTTTTTAAGGGAGAATGAATACCTTTACTAAAGAACCTGAATCCAACCAAAGGGTTTTTTCCTGTTTTTCCTCAGCTCTTGCTAGCTAACATGTCAGCTTCCAATCTGTTTCCTTTTATTTAACTCATAATTATGTGCTGAACTTGTTGCGGAAATTTAAGCTTAAAAAATTCCTGAAGATGAGGCTACACACTGATGGCTCTGACAACATGTCTTCAGGGGGAAAACTCATTGATGTTTCTTTCTTGGCAATTTGATTTTTTAATAAAACGCACGAACGGTTTTGAATTAGTGATTGATTATACTATTATGAAATGATCGAATGACTAGCATTTTCAAGTCCTGTAAGGTCATCTCTGTGCACATGTTATTTACTATGAATAATTTGACAGCATAATCCTGTGATGCAGGCAGATGCTTCTGTTTGTTGGTTGAATAAGTCCATGACATACTGATATGTATAGACCTGGCAAAAGCAACAACATCCGAATCTCCTAACTCAAACCTAAATTATTACATCCAAAACCGCATGACCTGATTTGGATTAAGCCAAAAAAATATGAGGGATTTTTCATAACAAGGTAATTATCATGATAGTGTTGAAACTGAGTAAAAAAACAGCCATTGATACAATCATACAATTAATTACAATACATAACTTCAAAAAGAAAAAACTCAAAAAGTAATTACAATATACATCTTGACGGACCAAAAACACGAAAATGAGAAGAACATTGAGACTAACTTACTAATCTATACATATATGACATTTCTTCTAGAGGTGATCATGGACCAAATCAGGTCACGATAAAAAAAGAAGCCCATTTAGGCTTGACCTATTTGGCCAAGCACTACTTTGGGTTCAAAAGTCAAAAAGACATCAATACTGTAAAAATCGGGTTTGATTGGATCGTGCCTCAGGCAAAAATAGTCTGAAATATCATTTCAGGCCAAAAAATGTTCCCAAAACTGGGAAAAATTACCCGAGGCGTGATTTTCAAACCGGAAAAAGGCTGCCCAAACCCGGACAAAATCGAGGCTGGCCAGGCAGGGTACTGATTTCTATTCAGAGATTTTACTGTAAACTTCTCTGGTTTTTCGTTTTTTTTGGGGTGGTTTTTGATGATTTTCCAGCTTTCAATAGTAGCTGAGATTTAGGAGGGTTGCCCTGGTCTTCACCAGACACCTGAACAAGCCTTCTAACACTTCATCCAAATCCTGAATTGTTGAGTCTAACTTGACAAACTTTCCTCTCAAATTCTCAGCTTGCACTACATTGAGACAGCTCCTCTTCTTCTGAGCATTGATCAAAGAACTCAAAGTCGAATCGATATCTTCAAATTCATTTTTTGACACCTCTTCTTCCTTGTTAAATGACTCATTTTGGTACCTAATCAGCTTGCACATAACAACAGACAAACTAGCACGTCTCTTATGAGATAGCGCCTTTGACCCTGAAATTGCTTCTAGTAAAGACTCGAAAATCTCAGCTGTTGCTCCCTCAACTTCTCTCAAAACATCTACCATTGCAACATTCTTATGATCTTTTTGAAAGGTAGTTTTTTTCTTCATCATACCCTTAACTTCCTTTGAGCATCTCTTTATCATCATCTTAGTCTTCTTCCTCATATTCACATACCTAACCATTTCCTCGCCGATGCTTAACTCTGCATTGGATCTTCTTCTAAGAGAAGATTGTATTTCTTGCATATGCTCCTTCACTTGTGACAATGCATCCTTTGCAATGCCACACACATCCAAGAGCCTTAATGATCCATCGAGCAACTCATCGATGCATCCAGCATTCGAGTATTGCTTAAGTTTTTGTTGGTTTTGTGGGAGGAGAATCAAATCACCCAAACAATCATACACATCTTTAAGGATGTTAAGTTTGTGGCCTAGTGAAGATAATTGAGACACCGAGGTAGAAACCACCTCGAAAGACCTTAGACTAGCTAGATGTTCGTCGATTTGGGGGACTAGTGGGTGAGGTCTCGATGGCAAACTAATCGAACGAATAGGCTGATTTGAGGGAGAGTTAGCCATCTTTTTACAATGAACTCTTTCAAGTTTCGAACATATATATATGGGGTGATTATCATGGAAGTTTTTTGGCTTGTAAAATGTGTAGATTAGATGAAGTAAACAAGACAAAAAGAATCCCTTCTTTTTGTAATACTCTGATTTAGGTAACATGATTTTAATGCTAACATCAGCTTATTTCATGGCATGTCTTTCTCCTAGACTCTTAGCTTTACTTGGTTACCAAGGTCCAAATTAGCTGTCAAGCTTTGCTGCAGCGACAATTTTGTCTCCCAATTCATGTTAAAGTTACAGCAACTCCTATGTTTTACCCCGTATTCTCAAATCAATCACTTCTCAAAAGGCACGGTGAAATTAATCTGTACCTGATTACCTTTCCCAAAACAAAAGTTTAATTTTTATTTTTCCATTATAAACTAGTAGTTGACAAAAATGACAATAAACACGAATCCAAATGACGTGTTTGTCTCCTCTACTTCTAAAACCGACTTATCAAGGTTTCCGCACATATAATTATCTAATTTATGGTACATATGTATACAGCTATGTCGGCTACTCCACCCCAGGTCGATGGATTACTCATTCAGAAGGGTGTGTCTTCATCAGAATCATCACATGATTTTGCTGAGCTTTATTATATCATGATCCATAAAATGTGCAAGTGCACGAGTGGGGAACATATGTTCATGTAACTGTGATTTTCTCTAACTTTTATGTAATTTCTGGTTGATTTTACGAGGAAAACATTATTAGCTTATTTCTGAAGCTACTACAGGCTGACTAGGAGTAATATTTGGCAAAATGGCAACACATACCATCAGATATGGTAGCACCACAATACCACATGCTTTTTTCCTGAAGTTCAAGGGACAAATACTGCTCATAGCAAATAGAAAACATAAGCAATTTATCTATTGCATAAGTGTTACATAAGTCATACTAATAAGGTTTGGGTCGCTAAATTGAGGTTGTGGATAGATAACATGTTCTCATGTGGGTAAGAGAATGAAGTTTATAGGCAGTGCTCTAAACTGAGATAAAGTTATTGAGAGAAATTCAAACTCGACACCACATGAGCATAAGATGTGTTTTAATACCCATTTTATAATATGCTCTCTTTTTTTCTTTGTCATATTATTAGTATAGCCGAAATCCAACATAACCGAAATCTATGCTTGTAGTAAAACTATTGCCTTTTAAATTACACTCGATATATTGTTTACTAGTTTTGGTAAAATGGCTATAATTAGTTACAGAGTAACTTTGACTCAAAGCTATATGTGTTATTAGTATAGCAAAATTAATGTTTGGTATTTATTTTCTTTTTTGTATGTTCCTTCAACTGGATCAAGCCATATGTCCAAAAAAAATAAAAAAATGATAATAATAATAATAAAATAATAAATAAAAACAAAACAAATGGATCAAGCAAAAACTATCAGCAAGTCTATGTTTTCTCCTCATATCCCCTTTCATAATACAGTCTTGTGGTAAATTGGCCATATATTTTACTATTTTATTCATGGCACTGAAAACTTTGAATTGGCCAGGGACCCACCCAGTTTAGCCCATATCGAATTATCAATTGCTTCATGGGACATCATCAAATCGACAAATCCAACCCAGCCCAGCCCAACCCAATGGCCACCTCTTATTCTTAACTTGGTGAAACCATAGACGGGAAATTCAACAATGGTAACACCTTAAGGTCTTTAACAGGACTCAGGAAGTTGATTAGAAGCTAAAAGTTGATAATGATAGACATGGAAAGCAATTTTCGCACACCAACAAGGCGACAAGTTTTTCCGGTTTATAAATTGACAATAATTCTCTTTATGTTCAAACAAGTTGCCTGTACAAAATATATGTAAAGAAGAAATGCTAATTTCATTCCTCTATTCAAGACTTGCTATAATAGTTGTCACATTTGGCACGTCAAATTGATCAAAATGAACGGTGAAAAAATAATTTGCAACTTTGTTTGCAAATTGCATTTTCATTTTTACTTTTCCCCCTCTTTTTCTCAATCTCTTACAGCCCCCCAATAACTTACAATGACCACACAATCATACAATCGAAAGTATAACATGATGCAATTTTTGCATCAATAAGAATCTTCTGTTTCCATCTCAGATTCTACAGACACTCGGGTTCAGAGAAAAGTCAATCTACCCTTTTTTGGATGATCAACCTCTTCCACCTTTCTGCCTCTTTTCTTCAAGTCCAGATGCTTCGCTCAGCATGTCAAGAGCATCCTTCTGCATGTCTAGTTTAGCAAGGGCAACTGACTGCATATAGAAGGCTGTTGGCCAATCAGGGTGCACACACTGCGCTTGCATTGCATCTCTTAGGGCTGCATCTGCTTGGTCATTCATGAGGTAGCACAAGCTTCTCCTTGCATACACAGTTGGCGAAACCATAGTCCCCACATCGATAAACTGTCCCAAAGGAGACCCCGAACAGAAGGGGAAAAAAAGGATAGATTCATCAAAACCCCAAAATTTACTAGCTTTCGCCAATGAAAGGATGAATTCAATGTGAAGGCCAATTACTGACTTTCAGTCCAACAGGAAACAGTCATAGTTTCCTTTATCTCTCCCCTTCTGAGTTTTTTTTATTTATTTTTTTAACAGACAGTTGCAACCAAAATAAGTATTCTTGAAAGTCTTAAATTTAGGACAGTATGTCGAAGAGATAATTTACACTAACATAAACTTTAAGATGAGATGCGTTTCAGGAAAGATAATTACTTAGTTCGTCCTACGTTTAGGTCAATAATCCAGAAAACTTCATGGTTTAAAGAGCATGAAGATACCTGAGAGTAACAGTCAATGGCTGTTTTGAAGTCTTTTTCCTTAAAAGCATGATCTCCACGCTTTCTCGCTTCCAACATATCTCTCATTTGCTGTGTCCATTCTTGAAAAGACAGCTGAACCAAAAGAAAATTAGGTAAAGGGGAAAAAAACACACACACACACAATTTAAATATTAATATATATAGTTCAAGTACCTCATTCGTTCCCTCATCATCTCTGTAGTGTGTCATAAACAATATTTGATGGATTGCTGTGAGATCCTTCCGAGAGCATGCTTCACCCATCGCCGAAAGAGGCCGCTGTGGGGTAGAGGGTGCTTCTTCTTGCTGTGATATCCCAAGCATGACATGTGATGCAACCTGAATGTCAAGTATTACATTTACTAATGGCAGAAGCTCAAGATGAAGTATATGAAAAATGTACATTCTAATATGGCAGAGAAAGAGAGAAATCAAGTAGCCCCAATTTTTTTTACCAATGATGATAATGCTGCAAAAGAAATATACAGGACAAGCTCCAGTAAAAGAGAGATGTAGGTCCTTACTTCTGGATTTGTATTCAATGGGGCAAGTGTTGAAACAAGATCCTTGGTGTTTGGTCTCTCCCGAGGTTCATATTGCAAACATTTAGATGCCAAATCAACAACTACAGTGGCTTCTTCAGTGGAAAATTTTCCCTCCAAATGGGAATCCATCAATAGGATTATATTTTTGCCACGTATCATGTCGAGGGCCTAAATGAAATAGGCACATGAAGAAAGAACAACCACTTCAACCAAAAAAGAGTATGGAAAAATATATAACAAATGTATATACAGCCAGAAAAACAATAGTGTTGTTAAGCCAGATCACTTCATATCCAGAAGTAAATCCAGCTTTTATACACTAATATAGAAGTCCACAACTCCCCACGTCTATAATCAACTATCTTATTGATATATATTAATGCAGGCAATATCTATGAAATAAGCTGCAATTCCAGAATAAGAACTCATAAAAAAATGATTAAAAGCAGCATGCTTCCTAGAGTGATCAAAACTTCACCCATACTGAATCCATTTGTATATTATTGGATGTTGGCCGTGATTGCAAAACTCTTCATGTTAAGACAAGTTTCAAAAATATATGTTACATAAAGTTTGGGGGGGGGGGGGGGACAATAAAGGCACACGAGGTGATTATTTTCTGAGGGAGAATGCACTCTTGCAAAAGCTTGATGCAACAGCAAGTTTTGGTATTACACTATTGATAAATAAATTATGTTTAAGCCATTACCAATGGGATAAAAACTTGATCAATCATCTAGCAGTCATGTAAAATCAAGTGACCAAATTTACTTACATGACTTGGAGGTATGTGCTTTCCACTCAACAAGTCCAAAAGAATTGTACCAAAGCTGTAAATAACACTTTCAGGAGTAACTTTTCCTGAAATACAAAAAAAGGAAGTCAGAGGTAATGCATGCTAGAATGTCAGCCCAAAACTTACCACTTTGTTTTTTGAGGGGATGAGGGGAGAGGGTGTGAGATTGGCAGTTTTGCTCAATACAGCTTGATGAAGTTTGAAGACTAATCATTTTGTAATAGTACTAATGTACAATGCAAGCACATTACTGCATTTTATATTTCGGCTCTAGTGCACAAAGTTCTTGCTACTTAGGCATGCCAGCATTTCAACTAACCATGAGTAATGATGTCACAATTGGCACACAAAGCTGTAAATGGACCAAGGTAAGAAGACATGTACAAGTTTTATGTAGGGCTTAAGCCCAAATCCACAACAAAGGTATGATCTAGAAGCAGAAGGTTGCATGCTGAGGCGTGTAGCCCAGCATGATCACTCAAAAGCAGCAGCAATTTCTTTGGTTGAGGCAGAAAGTAGCAGGCCAAGCCTGACGACAGGACCCTGCCCTGCAAATTTGTGGTGTGTAGTGTTTTAAGTGTATCATCACTTCAGGAAGCCTACTTATGATGTTGAATTCATCTCAATTTTCAAGTATATTAAGGATAAATTATAATACACTGTCCTAATTATACCAGTGGTATGGTAGGATGTATTACCAAAGTGCTCTGAGCCTTCTAATCAAATGAGATATGTGATCTCTAGATATAGGTTCTGGGGGAAGGTTTATTTACAGGGGTGGTGTGACTGAGTATCCTCATCAATTAATCAGCTAGTTTTTGGTCCCCTGGATTGTTAAATGGACATTATAATGCATGAAATTGATGAATGTCTCTTTTTCAATTATTTTCTTCCTTATGTGGTTATTATTATATTTTATTATGAATAGGAGAACATATAAGATTACATAGCTCAACAGTTAGGTTATTTATGTTAAAATCTG